GGGAGATGGGGGGTAACAAACTGCCATTTGTTTATGAAAATGGAAAAATGGATGGATTGGTCAATGTACATGCAAATATCATAGCCTGAATCCTGAGAGTAATGCAAATGGAATGGATTAAAGTTTGAAATTAGAAGTGAATTCTAGAACTTTAATTATAGAATTGGGTGAGAAGCCCTACTATGTATTCACATTTAATTTGTGCATGTTATGTATGCCTTGAGATGCCCTTTTCCTTAGTGAAAATTTACTTGAGTGTCAACTGAAATTTGATTTTGTCTGAAAGTATTTTACACTTTTTATTGTTAGTTGACCCTAAGATGAAGAAGCCATTTAATGCCAAGGCCTCCAAGAATCGAGATCCAACAACAGAGAAGGAGAAAATGGCCAAGCAGATACAAGGACAGTCCAAGGTGGGTGGTGCCCCCTCATAAAGTCCAATCATAGCTCTGATATGTCTCTACAGGTTCAGTTGTTAAAGCCAGTGAAAGATTATATGCCCTGGATGGGGGCGTCTCGATAGCCCAAAGTGTCACTGGTCTGAAGGTTCATTGGTCTGAAAAATGGTAACATTTTCATCGGTTTTTTAATCAAGGGTTCATTGGTCCGAAGGTTCTATAGTGACCATTCAGAGCAATGAACCTTCAGACTATTGAACCCTTGGACCACTGCTACGCCCCCCCCCCCCACCCCCACCCCCACACCTGGACACAGACATAATACTAAACTGAAAATAAAAAAATCATATGAGAAAGTGCATGATATGTTTAAGGGGCATTCACCTTCTTGGATATACATTGTATAAAAGTTAAGATTATTATGAAATTGTTAAAGCACTTAAATTTTTTCCTCAAAAATGTTACATTTTTACTATTACAGTCAATTCAAAAATTGAAATTTGAGTTGGAACAACTGAAAGGAACTCCAAGGGGAAAGATGATGCAACGTCGACAACAACTAGAACAGCAGTTTCAGTCTCCGAGAACACAGCAACAGCAGCGTAAAGGTTTTCAGATGCAAGGTCGTCAAAACAACTGGCAAGAAGTGAAGAGTCCTGGAACCATGGGGCAGAGACCAATGGGACAAAAACCAATGGGACAAAGGCCAATGGCACAAAGACCAATGGCACAAAGACCAATGGGGCAAAGACCAATGGGACAGAGGGATGAACAAAGGCCTAATCGTTTTAATCCCCAAAGAGCACCTGTGCAGTCTCTCATGCACAACATGCCTCCTGATACTGGGCCTGGGCCAGCTGGTGGAGAATCTGGAAATGTAGCTGCCAATATCTTGGTGGGCCTCAGTAGAATGTTGAAGTGAGTTTTTTTCTCTCCTTTAAATGTTTTAGCCATTGTTGAAAGTTGATTATATTCATTGGTGTGCAGTAAAAAAGTACAACTCTCGTGATGTGAAAATTTGGAGTGAAATAAATGTCATTATGTCAAATTAGGTGCATAGCATTTATGGCACACATCTCAGAAATAATTTGTATAATTTATGCTTCTAAACAACACGTTAGGACCTCATAAATGAACCAATAAATTGTTCAAGTTAACTCCTGTTAGAGTTGCATTTTTTTAGTACTCTCATGTGGTAATTTTCTTTTCAGTCAACAGATGCAGAACCAAGGCAGAAGTGGTAGAAATATGGGTGATGGAATGGGTGGAGGAATGGGAAATGAAATGGAAGGTAGAATGAACAGGTCCAGCGGAATGGGAAGTGGCATGGGAAGTGGTGCAGGCGGAAGAATGGGTGGCAGAATGGACAGTGGTATGGGTGGCAGAATGGACAGTGGTATGGGTGGCAGAATGGACAGTGGTATGGGTGGTGGAATGGGAGGAGGGATGAGAGAGGGCATGGGCAATGGGGTGGGAAGCATGGGCAGTGGAATGGGAGGGAGAATGGGCAGTGGAATGGGAGGGAGAATGGGCAGTGGTATGGGAGGAGGAATTGGCAGTGGCATGGGAGGAGGAATGGGCAGTGGATTGGGAGGAGGCATGGGTAGTGGTATGGGAGGAGGGCTTGGTAGTGGTATGAGAGGGGGAATGGGCAGTAGCATGGGAGGAGGAATGGGCAGTGGCATGGGAGGAGGAATGGGCAGTGGCATGGGAGGAGGAATGGGCAGTGGCATGGGAGGCAGAATGGGTGGAGGCATGGGAAGTGGAATGGGAGGCGAATTTGGCTCTGGTGGAAGAGCTGGAGCTGGAGGCGGCAGAGATGATTATGGTGTTCAAAGTGACTATAATAAATTTGATGTAAGTAAAACAATAATTTTGTATTATTTTTTATGTCTGTCCCAGCAAGCAGGAAATAATTTTTCATAGAAGAGTGATTTTTTTTCCAAAATGTCAAAAATGTATACTATAAATTACCACCATGGATGTCTTTGTGGAGAAATTGAAATGTTAATTATAGAAACTAAGACTGTAATGTCATTTTAAAGAAATGATGGAACCTTTTAATGCAGTATCCACTAATTTCAGCAGACTCATAATGATGATTTAGCATTGTCCAAGTGAAAATTTTAAACATTGAAAATATCACATCATTATTGGATTATTTTCCAGTCTTATCATGGCGGTTACTATGACAACTCTGTAGATGATCCCTACATGCCTGGAGATAACAACTGGAACAGAAAACGCCAAGGTCAAGGTGAGGTGTTGTTTTACTTAACCCCCAGCTTATTGCATGCAAGAAAGTGAGGAGTCTGAGAAATCGGGTTACCATGTGCACACATATAACGGCATTATTGATCATCCAGATTAACTACTCGGAAGAAGCAAATTGTGTAGGCATATGAATTGTTGTTTGATTTTTAGAATAATCAAACATTATTTCTTCATAACTTGCACCAGGGCATTTTATTGCAATAAAATATATGCATACAGGTAGTTGTTTATATTAAAAATTAAATTTTGTATTCACAATTTAAATTTTTTTCAGGCTTTATGCATGGGAAGAATAAGAGAAGGAGATAAAGTACTTAGATACTATGCAATGAAGAAGTGAAGGACTGTAATCATATTATGTACACTGTGTTTCCATGAAAAAGAGGGAGATAATTTGAAATAAGACAAAGAATCATGGAGTTGTAGAAACCTCCAACAAATTTAACTGGTCTGTATGTGGATTCATAGGACAAAGAATCATAAGGAAAGTTGTAGAGACCTCTAACATTTGTGACTGCTCTGCACGTGCATTCCTGGCCACCACATATTACTTATTTTAACATTTTGAAGCCTGTACCTTACTTTTACAGAATAACAATTTGTAATTTCTTTCAAGCCTGCGCGTTCAAAATATAGGTTAGTGTGAAAGTGTAAATATTTTTATGGGATATGGAGAGAAGTTGAGGGATATTCGAAAGTTCAAGTGTTCATTGTCTAATGTAGAAAATAAACCTTTTTAAACTAAAATGCTGTTCCAGTTTTGTTTTATTTTCAACACGGAAGAACTAGTTTTCCCCAAAAATATGAAGAAAAGACACCCTGATGTTAATTTCTAGCAGTACGTTTTCTCCTTTAATACTCGAATATTATCTTCATTAGACTTGTTTATCTGTTGCCGTATATGCATTGACTTAAAAAAAATAGCGGAAGTATAAAATTACACCTTTTTGTTAAATGTCATTTTCAAGCCTGGCCTTCGTCATGATGGTGAAACCACAGGTCGCCCACTTCTTTCCCGCAAGTGGAGTTCAATACGAGCTGCAGTCATACTATAATGAACAGCCTGTAGTTTGAAAAAACTGCTATTGACGTGTTCCAAAAATGAATTGGGAGAAGCTCTTACGGGGAAAATACTTGGTATTTTGTCATATGATTGCGCCTACAATACCATGTATGTACGTTTAGAACGAGTTACCTCTTATTTATCCACAAAAATGTTCAATTTTGTGAAAACGAGAACCGGTCTGACCGCTTGGGCACAGTTATGCTCTCTGTCCGCATGTATAGACGTAAAACGAATATCTTTATAAACAAAACGAAGGTTCTTCCAAAGATTCTGTCCATCATTTTGTCAGTGAATTTCTGTACTGTACATTTCCATACGTGTAGAAATCGTGATTCGTCTTAGCTCAGCGCTTTGACCTTTGGACAACAGCTGTTTTAAAGGGTTGCCTTCATTTGTATAAACCCATTTTGTGTTAGAATTCATATTCATTGCTTACCCCATAAACTCGAATTACTTGGCAACATTTAGATCGTAGAAACCAGTAGTTTATTGGATGTATAGTAATATGGAGTAATTACTTATTTACTCATATCTTTGTGGCGCAAATTTTCGTAGAAAATATTTCACGTGCAGGCACAAACATGCCATGGTCGGTAGGACGAAATTCCGATACATCTGTCAGTAAATCCCATATGATGAAGGTTGATTAAAAAGATGAAAAGGACGTACCACGGAACCAAAGCCAATATAATTGCCTTCATTGATAAAGTGCAATTTCTTGGCAAAGGCTGTTTTTTTTTTTTTTTAGCGTGTCAATAACCTGCCAAAGAGACCAACTCCAACTGATGTCCAGGTTTAAGTGCATGTGATTGCTGCCTGGGGATAACTGCGTCGATATTGAAGAGTATTTAGTTTTATCCTTATTGATAATTGGCTCATTTTGTAAATCATTCAAACATCATACTGCCGAATGGCTTTCCAGGCAGACGCTCCGTTTTCAAGGACAAATGTGTTTGAACGCAGGCCCTGGAAGTAATTTCAACACTAAGACGAGAATATAAAGTTGTTACATGTGAAACTAATCAGAATATTTAGATTTATCAAATAAATTCTATTATGATAACATTTAGCCTTAGAATATTGCAAATATGTTGTTAGAAAAGGAGTGATTCTACAGTGTAATGAGTCCTGCCCAAGTTAGACGAAACACTAAATTCTGTGAAACTAATGAAGATGTCTGGGATAAAAATTTGGAGCGGTTCTTAGCGATATTAGTTAAACATTAACATTTTGTAATTTTGCTTCTTAATGTTGCCAATTTTTATTGCTCCCCTAGCCAGGACCAAATGCGCAGTCAAATGAGGCCTAACCTATACACATGGTTGATATTAATAGGTATTAATGCAACCAGTGTAAATAACGTTCCAGGAATACGGAAAGTGAACGGTCGTAAATCGTATTTTGATGGAATTAACTTGTCCATTTGATTCTTTCTTGATGATTGTAAGTCGGTTTTGACGTACAAGATAGAGAAAAAATGCGCATTGAACATCTACCGAAATCATTTAGGTGTCTAGGTATTCTGAATAATGCCCATCAAAATTATGCTGCTGTTTTCAACCTATTTCAATTATAAATCTGGCAAAATGAACCTTTGCCTTCAATACCTGAGATTAAAAGCTGAAACATGAAGAAAACACGAGTCGTTTTCCTTGGAAAAAAAACAAAGAGGACCATACAATCTGAATTCAATGTGATTTTGTCAACAAAGTCTTGACAGTTTTTATTTTTGCTTACGTTGTTAGGTAATGACTAACTTGGATACGACGTAAACAATAATCTGAGATTACCACGTACATATGTGACACCAGTGTCAGATTTCGAGTCTGGAACTGCCCGTCATGAAACAGATTCGTTGTTTGGCAATCGATGCTAAACGCGACAGAAGTTAACTACAGCAAGATTGATAATTCTCTAAAGGTTATACGAGAAGACACTTAAGTCATTTATTTTATGTGCCAGTATTTCTAGGACAGTTGTCTGTGGAACCTGGAGATACGAAAAGGGAGACCTTTTTGCGAAGTATCGAATTTTGCATTGATTGCAACTCCCTAAACCTAATTTTCCCCCGCTTGAGGCTGACTTTACCAGTAATTCACGATTGCAACTAGCTGCTCCTCAATAATGGAAACTACTGGTCATCTGTCACACGGGTCAGGTCCTTCTTTAGTTTCGAAAGTACTACCCACTTTGTTAGGCTACTTTCAATTGAGGATAAGCAATATTGATTCTAACACACTGAGAAAGCCCTTCATTGTCAAAAACCAAGGAAAAAGATCTCCAACATTTCAGTTTACTATTTTTCTTCATGGTAAAGTCCACAGTTTTACTTTTATTACGCAGTGAAAAAGTCTTGGGTACTGGCCTGTTGTAAATAAACTTAAGTTTTCAAGTACGACAATTTTTTTCTGCCTAGAATACATAACAAGGAGAGTGATGAGAGCAGAGGCATTTGATGCCTTGCCATGATAAGTGCATGTAAACATCAACATTATGCTTTCAATTGCGATTGTACCAAATCCTTGACGTCAAACAATGGCTTGGATGCTTAAGCCCGTGGTCTTGTCAGAGTAGAGAAGTCATTTCATAAGACGACATTAAATAAATGACGTGCATCTCAACATTAATACCCAGAAAGACGTCATCGTATAAGGTGATATTATCTTCGATTTTGTCTCCCCAACATCTTGCATGTGAAAACGTCATAAAATTTGGATACGTGATGGGAAAGGCACGTAAGGATAATGTGATCAAGATAAAACTTCGTCATCTTTAGGGGTTATTTTGTTTGTACCTAAATATGTTTTAATAATCTTACACATGATACGTCCCGCTTATGTTCATGATTATCATTATCACTTTAATCTGGTCATATTGACAGGGACATTATATCGGACAGTATTGTTGCATCTCATTTCGTATTTAAACGAAATGTTGTTCTCCAACATAAATACATGTGTACGTAGATGACAAAATAAAAGTCTAAGGACTGAATGAATTAGCATACCTATGAGAGTAAATTACATTGGGGTTATTGTGATTTGTCTTATAAATATGTGTATAGAAAGATGTAGTAAATGCCAGGCGTATTTCTTATACACTGTTGGCCATTACGGTCGGCACACACACCTAAAATGTGGGGGTCTTAATGGTGCTTTTGGTTTTTAAGCTATATAATATGTTAGAGAAAATGTCGCCTTATTGGAGAACAGTTGTACCATAAAAAATAATTAAAAAACGATTCCATCGGAGGCGGTTCTGCTCATCCATGGGGCGCATCTTGTTTCACTGATGTCACTCATTTGGTTCTTCTGGATGAAAACGTCAACGCCGTGGCGTGAGAGGATATCTTACAAAGTCGTTTGATCCCATTTACACGTGCAATGTTCCAAAACAGCTTCTACCTGCAGCATGGCAATGTTACTCCACAGAGTCGCTTGGTGAGGGATTTTATCAACCAAAACAACATTCTGCTCATGGCCCAACCCGCTAGAAGGCCTATATGAAACCCCAAGGAACAACTTAATCAGGGACGTATTTGGAAGAGCAGCATGTAAGAGATAACTACGTCCTGCCAATTTAGGCAAGCTTTGGTCCAATATTGGAACAGAATCCCCCAGCAAGAGCTGGTGACACTGATGAACAACATTCTCCGTCGTATTGTGCACCCTCATCGTGCACGTGGAGGTCACACCCGCTACTGATATCAATACTTGTACCAAACATATTAAGAAATGTGTGTGGAATTTTGAAATTGATTGTAACCTCTCATTTAGAATTATAAGAGTTGTATAATCTGTATTCATAAGAGATCATACGAGCTAATTTACATCGGCGATATTGGAAAATCCATGTAATTTTCCAGGAAATGTACAATGCAAACGTGTTTGTTGTTTCTTTGCAGATCTAGTTATGAAAGATTTCGTATCTGCAAAGATACAACTGTGTAAAGGAATAGTGCAGGTTCACTGTTGTTTTATATTTCCCACGTTGGCATATGGCAGAGTACAATTCGAAAGAACGACGCTATGATGTTTAGTTTATGTTGGCTGGAACTTCCTTCAGTTTTTTTAACCGAGAAGTTTATACACCTAACTAAAACTAACATTTTCGTATTGATTTCAGATTCACCAAAAGCATGTTTCAGAGGAACCTTAGAGGTCTGGTACAGATCAAAATATTGTGAAATAGATAAACATCCTCCCTAGCCGATTGCTGTTTGATAAGTTGCTTAAAACGATGTCTTTTGCTTCACTACTTATGAATGTATGTTGAATCCGTGTGTTGTGAAAGGATTTTTATCGTCGCAAAATTGCATTTAGGGAAAATACAAAGTTCAGTACGACTGTAATATGACAGGTGCCTGACCGCATATTTATACACCTGACTGAAACTGTTCCGTTTACTTCCTTTTTGCCAAATTAGATGGAAAGATTTGTCTTTTTAAGTACGATGATGTCTGTCATTTAAGCGACACATGCGTCTGTTGAGATTAATCAATAAATGCCTAAACACATTATACTTGAAAGCTGAATCCGATATCCATTATTCTAGATGCGGTACGCTCACACGTTGTGGTTTCATATGTCCTCTGGATGGTATAAATTTACATTCGCAACGCAGCAGAATCTAATGGTACACAGCGTCAGAAAAATATGTACGGCTATTGTTGGTTTCCAAATGCGTTATCAGATAACACTTCTTTTTTCTCCCTCTCTTTTTCGTTGAAAATGATTTGATAGAGAGATAAATTGAACATCTGGGACATCGAATGTTTTATTCTTATCTTCCTCTTCTTTTGTGATTAAATCTGCCTTGACAGATATTCAAAAAAGGGTCTATTCATTTACGTATATAATAATACAGTTGCGAAATTTAAAAAAAAGGGGTTAATTTGTATGCACAGCTACATAGTTCATGAGAATGACGGATGGTCAACACATCCAAACTAATGTAGTTTTTTTACACCTTCACGGGTCTTTTTTGATATCTTACACAGGACTGGCATTGTCCTTGGTTCTGAAATAACGAACAACAAAATTTTTCATCAGCTGCGATATGTAGAACGTGTTTACAATAATAGCTTCTCGAAACAGATATTTTATTGGAGTCACTTAAGTAGCAGCTCTAAAGACGTTGTTTGAAGAAACCATACTTGTAAACTACGAAGTTCTCTTTTAGTAGTATATGTAGAAATATAGCAGGTTGCCAACGGTTCTGTGAAATCAGAGGTGGAAACGCAACTGGTTCAGCAGTTCGAAACTCTTTTAACCCCCCCCCCCCAAAAAAAAAAGAAAAAAAAAGAAAGAAAGAAAGAAAGAAAAAAAATATATAGCAGTTCGGTTGAATAAACAATGAGGATTTTCACATACAACTTTGGTCGGTGGCCAGAAGAATTTTTTGGACTTTTTGGACTCACGCACGCCAATTTGAATGTCGCAACAAACACCTATGGTTCAATTGCTTATTCTTTGAATCAATATCAATCAATCAATTCAAATATTGCATTTGAATGCATTATAAAACGGGGAATCTGATGCTGCTCTTTTTCCTGATGAAGGATTATTTCTTTCAGAATACACGTAATGAAAATTGGTAGACCATCGTTGCTCAGCTGAGATTTTTCATTAAAGCAAACTATTATTGGGAATCTTAGGTGTGGAATACTTTTCACAAATTGCAAGTTGTGGTGGTTCAGGTGTGGATGGCTGATTCAATAGTCCGTCTATCGCTTACATTCTCTACAAAAACGTAATTAAGCAATGATGACTGGCATTTCAGAGCTCGCTGTGAAGAACTTATCGATAGTAGTACGGCTCCACAGCGAAAGCAGAATTACCCTACGCACGCAATATGTATGTTCCGGCTTCAGAATTCTCATTTCTCATAATGAAAATGATTATTCACACCGGATTCACTGCTTTCATTTTCACTTCTCCTAAAATGCAATAATTCTCGCTAAGGTTATGATCTCATTTCATATTTCTGTTTTTTTAGACAAGAATACAGGCTATTTATATGGAAACATTTGCGACAACATAAGTTGCCATGGATTATTTCCCTAAGTTATTGGCAGGAAGCACAGTGTATTTTAGTTGAAGGACAATGAAGTTGTGACCATTAGCCCCATGGTACTCCCATGAAGATGTAAAACATATAAATGTTTTCTCCAGTCCTACGCTTAAAAGGGGGTTACGTAAAATTCGTTTTTAGAAATACGACACCGCAGACGATGACTTCATGTTTACAAGACACAAATCGTGCAGAAGTACTTCTTTGAGAGTAGGTAGTCATTTCTGTAAATTCAATTACATTTTTGGTTCATTTTGGTTTCACCCCAAGAACCACTAACACTAGAAATCCTGTCATTGTTCTTTCTCAGGAAATAAAAGCCGTGCGTCACGTAAGGTTAAAATTTCATTTCAAAGACAATTCACGCCCAACGCTTGCGTGTTTAAAACAACGTAAAGCACTACCTAGAAACAGTAAAATTCACCTTAGCTTTATGCTTTTGACATTATTAAGTATATCTCATCATCTTTTCTCGTGTAATCTATGCATCGATTTTAAGGAGATATAGGCATAAATCTACGTCAAGACTCGATTGTATCGTGTGCTGGTGCCTCCCACGTATACGTATGTTACACAAGGACTAAAAACCAATATTAGTCATATCAGAACAATTTATTTCCGTATATTAAGACATAAAATATCGGTTGAAAAGTGAAATAAAGACAAGTGATATAATATGGGTAAAAACAACACTTCATAAATGCCAATATTGAAATGTTAAAAGTTATTTACAGCAGATATTCCGTTTTCCCAAAACTGGGGCTCTCACAAAAAGATAAAACTCAACTTAGTAACGTCGTCAATAAGTTACATGAAGTGACAAGGGTAGTTGATTGTCACTGATCATTGCACTGCACTTATTCATTTATTTTTAAAAGGGCGCAAGATGACCCTCGACAGTCTAATACATCTCTCGTGTCTAAATAAAAAAGTGTCCCTTTCTATGGCTAAAGGTTATGCCAGAGAATGCAATGCTATCCACAACACCCAGATCTACGTACTGTACTTGAAAGGTTGAAGGTGCTGGAAAATAATAGGCCCCAGTTAAGAAAAAAAATCCTGTGTTAACTCACAAGCCCCCAAGGTCTACGTTAGTAAAGACCTTCCCGAGAAAAGACACATCTCCTTTTACGTGGGTGCAAATAAATGAGTGCCAACAAAATGTGCGGCGGGGAATAACATGTGATGGACAATTATCTTTCTCTGCGTGATTATCAAAGCTAAAAAACGTGCTTCGCCGAGTGCTAGTTAGCCTAAAGGACGTTCTGTCATGGCCTTATCTATGCCGATAAGACTTGACCTAGCAACAGCTGTCTAGTAAACAGTATATTCTGAGAAAGGATGTGCAATATTTGATTAAATCATCATATGCTATAACAGATACAAAATTTTACCCCTACATTCTTTCCCATTTAATCCAGGAATGTTTTGCCAAAACAGAAACAGTCACAGGGAAATTAATTGAAATCCCCTATATAAATTCTCTACAATAACTTTTTGCCCTTGCCAACTATAACAACCAAGAAATGTTAATTTGGTTAAGTGGACAAACTGAGCATACTCAAATGGCATGTAACCATAGAGATAAGTCACAAGATTTATGTTACTCTTGTTCTTTGTCTCCTACAAAGCAGCAGTTGCCAGAGGTTACGAAGTCTAATTCTCTTTCCATTGTTTTGTGACTCTTCACTTTTGTCGTGTTCAAATTGTAATTCTTTATCAGACATAACATGCAGATGTCTCTGAATGGCATCTCCTAAAATTTGTACATCAAAGTCAGCTCCGTATATGTCCCATGTTAATCCATCATCATCGTAAGTAACATCCCGAACCTTAGCCAATTTCTGTTCATTTTGCTTTTCCGTATCACCGGTGTGTAGGCCAGATTCTTGGAATTCACCACCATCAGTCTGCATTCTGCGATGTTCAATTTTCCCAAGGGAGCAACAATTTGCCAATTTATTTTCCAGTAGAAGTTCTATTTGATCTGTATGTCCCATGATGTCTTCAGTACTTGTGGCGTTGGAACATCCGGCTGAACATCCCTGAGAATCGCCTTCGATTTTACATGGAGCAGAATGGGTCGAAAGCTGCTTGAACAGACTTTCACGCCTTTCGTCCAAAGATTGGGTTCGTTTGTACTGAAGGGAGGGTTTTCTGTACACTTGTAAGATGGCTCTTAGGTCTTCGTTCGAACACACCACTCCTGATTCAATGTCTTTTTGTTTGAGGTTTGGGACTGCAGAAAAAGAGTAATGTTGCCTGCAATTGTGACCTCGTATTGAAATTCCCTTCCCTCCTTTGGTAGAGGTAAATTCCCGACTAACTAAATCATATCCTTCCTGATCTTCATCCGTTTTCTGTGCGGAACGTTCATCAAGACACGCGCTTAACATGCGCTGCCGTCTGTCCTCAAAAATGGCGGCAGACGTGGGTCCATCACTCGAATGTAAAATATGTCTTTCGATTCTCTCTTTAACTTTGCTCAGAAGAAAAGAGGGTGCACTTTGCGTCCTGTCTCTTTCTTTTTCAAGCTTTTTTGCAATGGCTTCTCGCAGAGTTATGATCTCAGCAGGCACGGTTCGACTGCGTTCTTCAGAAAATCGCCGGCGTCTTGAGGCACGTTCGGCCTCCTTGTTTTGAAGCAAACAACCGACATCCGAGTCCTCGTCAATCTCTGCCAGTTCAGAGTTAGTGTCTGTATCGGTATCGATAGAAGAGGACAGACCAGAATCCTGTATCAGAGGCTGTTTATGCACATTTAGACATTTTTCTCTCAAGATTATTTCCTCCTCTTCTTCCAAACCAACTGCTGGAGAGGTATGGCGCCTTGCATAATGGTACAGAAGGCGTTTTCGACGTGCTGAATCTGAGTACATGGTTGCTGCAGCAAGTATCTTCGTTAAAACAGTTTGTCTACTTAGCAAGTATCTTTCAGCCTGTGTACTTGTTGCTCTTCTAAATGTTTATGAATGACTTGCCCTCACTCCTTATCAAATGTATGGTTTTACCTGAAAAAGAAATAAGAACATCAATATTTACTGCTGCTTGCTAGATCTAATATAGCTTTCCAAAATAAGCAAAGGTTAAAAGAAAACAGGTGATGATTCTTATTTCACGAGTAATTCAAAGCCAAATGGTTGCCAGGTGTAATGAAGTGATTAACGCTTTTTTCGTATGAAGGATACACTAATGGGGGGAAGTTGTCATAACAAGCGTTTCTAAAATAACCCCCTTTCTTGCAATTCCATTGAGTCTGTCAAATCGCTAGTCCTATCTATTACAGTCTTCGTAAGTAACAGTAAAGTTCCCGAAAGACACAGAAAAATAGCAGATAAAATCTGCATTATTCATGTGAATATAGTTTTTAAAGTAACAGCATATGTTATTGATCAAAATTCAGGTTTCTAGATCTGTATTGCGCTAAACCATGCGAACTGTAAAACTTGGTGTCGTTAACAAAACACCATATTGATGCTGAAGTGTTTACTGTCACCTGGTAGCTGAGCCTTCGCTGCTTGTACAGGAGCCACTTTGATCATGCGTCGTTAGTGAAAACGACAACTAACAGCTACAAGAAAAAATCCTGTTTGCAATAATTTTCAAGGCAGCACCTCAGCGTTTTGTTTAAATACTGTTGCTTTGTTCTCTCTGTCTTGGTTAAAACATGCTGTGTAGAGCAGCGCAAATCAAATGAGCGTTAGCCAAACTTGATAAAAACCCAATCAACGGGCACTGTCTCTACGAAAAATAATGGACATCCCACCGCGGCACTTTCTTCATATAGATCTACCACATATCCTCAAAATGCTAAACTGACTTAAGATAGAATACAGCGTGTGCTTGAAATTGATGTAACATCACACATCACCTGTTACCTGTCACATGTACATCATTCATATGCCTTTTGTTTTGCCATTGTCTGGACAGAATTGCCTTTTATAATAGTTGCGATCTATTATAACGAAATTATATGTAGGTGTAAATTACGCATTTTATTTATGAGTTACTTATTGGATTCTATTCCTAATTACGTAGGAGCAGTCTACGAACATGTGGTAAACATACGTTTTTCACCATCGGTTTCCACCCAAGTTTTCATGCAAAGTTCACATAATTAGGAGTGAGTAGTATACTAATAGAATATTACCGAATGATGCACAACATAATCGAACATGGCATATGCTCATCAACAACTCGTTGCAATATGCTCGATCATGTTCTCTTACTAGCAATATGTGTACGATGTACAATAGAAAATGTATATTGTTACAAGGAACATGTGTACGATCTACACTAGAAAGGGTAGATTTACGCATATTATTATTATTTGGGCCGACAACACAAATCGTTTTTAACGGGCCATGCTGGCCACATTTTTAAAAAGCAGCTAGCCCTTGTATACCTGCGTTTTCCATACCAAATTCAATGATCTCATCCCCACAATATTTCCCTACCTGGTTCTGAGGAGAAAAGCTGGTGAGAGGCATCCACACTTCAGGTGTGAAGGAGTTTTGACAGCACTAATATTGCTCGCAGAGCATGATTAACTACAGTGGTTCTTCCTTGTCTCGTATTCTGTGTCGTCTTCAACACATATTATGATGATGCTGCGTTGACGTTGTGCTATACCTAAACTGCACTGCAAGTTGTCCTAACTCAGCTTTTTAAACTCCACTAAATCAAAATAAAACAATTCATGTTTACCTAGCCCAACCTCCTGTCAGATTCCATGCCCTTCTTTACGTGCTTTGGCTGCACAGACTGCAGACGCATCACGCTTATACACATTGGTTTTTTGCGTCATTGAAACCTATTTCATGCCATGTCGTTCGGGGCATTGCACTGTTAACTGACATCAATTTCCGATTGACGCGAGGAAATAATACCATATCGTTGTTCTTTTGCACATCAAGAACCTTTAGTGAACCTGTACAACTGACAGATGTGGGATAATGCGACCTTGACTCCCACTTGCACATCTCTTCGTTAAGAATCTACAAAACTGCTGGTTTTCACGCAAATCGACCCATACTCTTACACATTCAAATCTAGAGAACATTGTAAGTCATATTTATTGCTCCCATTAGCATAACATAAAAGGTACCTAATTGGAAACGCGATATGTTCCCATGAATGTTTGAATTTAAATTATCCACCTGGAACTGCTTTTACGGATTATTAAAGATATTGTTAGGTCTACTCACAAATATACATACATCTCAGACCTGTATCAATTGTTGATATTGACCAAACAAACAATGGGACTTATTTTTGTTCCTTGTGTCTATTGTATTTTTTATTTGTCAAATGTGATTAATGGAAAACCATTTACGGCGTTGGTAACAATGCTAAAAGTAGTGTCCTCCTGTGGAAGTCGTTTTTTGATTGACGAGGTTGGCCAAATTCTCCGAACGCTGGCATTAAATAAGATTAAATGACATGCCTTTTGGCATATAGACGAAGCAGCAAGACATTCAAGTGCAAAAAAAGTAACAAAGGCCGAAGCCGCTTCGCTACTAGAAAATCTACTTACCTCCAATGGATTATCTTGAAATGAGACCAATATTAATTGACTGCTTTCGACTTTATAATCGGTGCTAAATGCATTAAACAAAGATTTTTCTTTCGCTTCATACTATCTGCCTTATGTCGTATTACGCACTGCGATTTTTTACCATTTCTGAAACTACATTTTTGAATGACATTTAATTTCCGTAAGAGAACCGCTTATACAAGCAATCTATACGTCATAAGTCTCTCCAACCATACAAAAGCTAAAAAAAAGTATGCACGAAAGGATGCCTTGGTTATACCTTTGATAAAATACATTACTCTAACAAACTGCTTATAATAGGCCCTAATTTTAAGAGATTTCTGAATAAGCTACATGTATATGTCCCTATTATATTTTTTTTCATTTGCAAGTGCATATCATCACTCCTTCACACGTGTAAATGAAAACACTAACCGATGGTGATAGATTTTACCCTTCGATATCAACCAAAACCAGCCCTTGAGGCCAAGCTTGGATATAGTTGGTTGCCGGTCTTCTCTTTATTAACGTCATAATACAATGTGCCATTCCTTTCCCTTTTCTTCATACTTCAAGTGCACTTTGTTATCAACGATGAGGTATAGTACATCATATCTCTGTTCATAAATCAACTGATAATGATAATGGTGGTCTTCATTTACGACGGAAACACGTTGTACCACAATGATATCTACCTTCTGGCTTTTTTCCCCCCAAAACGTTGTTTTGTTTCACAACTGCTTGTTGTCATGAATGTCAGTTTATTTAAGGTCATATGAGGCAAATAATCTGTCTCAAAGGTTTAATGTTATGTGATTGATAACCATATACACTGCTTCACTATGTCACATTTACTAAATTAAACCGGATTTGCGAAAAAGCACATTGAATAACATCGGCCGCGGAGGCCAATACTGTCGAAAAAAGGTAATGAGCTGATCATTCACATGATCACCCAGTGAACACGTTTGGATACAATACTGTGACTAGGGGGCTTGTATTTTTGCATTGTAGAATTAGAGAATAGAAAAGAAAACGCAAAATCCTTTTCATGGAGTACTTGAAGCACTGATCAGCAAATGCCGGACACCGTTTCCTGGTATTGTTATCATCTCTGCAACTCAACTAATATCTTTTGCTGTCAAATTTATTACACTCAGAATATATAAAAAGTTAGTTTTGCCAAGCCCACAGTGCAGAGTTAACAGAAAAAGCAATGGTCAACAAGAAGTAATCCGTCAACTAAACAAACTCATAGCTCATGATGTCGATTTTCTCTGGTAAAAAGGCAACCTCAGAAAACTTAAAAACAAACCACTGAAACCACCATTTTAGCTTTTTGTCAAATAAATCACCTTCCCACTATCATGGATTTTTTTTTGCAATGATATATTTACTTAAAGTATAAATATAGTAGCCTACCTTGCAACATTCGCCTTCGCCTTGCAGGCTGATGACTCCTCGACTGCAATGGCTATATTACAGCCTACTCTTTAAATACCGTCCCTTTATAGCGTCAGAAAACGTGTTATCGATTCATTGGCAAATAATCTCCAGCCTGTACAATTTAAAAAGGTCCTAGATTGCTGATCTGATTTTCCATGCCTGGGACCTTCTTAGAAATTTGGCTCTCTGAAATTAATTCAATCTCTAAATGGTCTCGAGGGTGTATCGTGACGAAGGTTCGTGACCCCTGGCTAATTTTCTCTTGTCTGGGACATGGGTCCACCCTGTCCTAGGAAATGCCTAGATATTATGCAATAATCTACGGTGTGAGAATTCCAATAAATCCTATTAAATTGACGATTCCCGGGAATGCCTAATGAAAACAAATCTCATTAACAAGGAGGTCATTAAATAACGTGTGGCAAATTTATTTGAGCACTCGCTTATATCTCTGATAGAGCATTGAGGAAGTGCAGATTTGTAGCAATTGAGAAATTTCCAAGAGAGATGATTTCTTATTGAAATGCAACAACCTCCACAAATTATTTTAATTGTAGTCATCAGAAGATTTTTTTGTATTTGGAAAATGGAGTGGAAAGATAAGTACTTGAATATCTTGGGCGGTAATGGTTTATCTGAGTGCAGAAGCGCTCTCAACATCCCCCTTTAACGACATTATCCATGCATTAACACACTGTGTGGCAATACCGTAGGCAGTGAAATAATACCGAACATCGTTACCCATTAGTCCTGTTATGGGAATATAAGGACATTTATGCCATTCCTATTTATACAGCTTATTATCAGTACTTTTTACTGCTCGGGATAACGACCATTGTGAATCATACTATCTAAAATAGAACGTTATTTATTTATTTTTTCTTGTTTTAAGTTTACGAAGTAATTTTTTCTGCCATTGTTTCCCTTTTTGATGCTTAATTTTCATACAATTTTTTATACTTACCTCTCCGTTCAAAAAAAAAAAAAAAAAAAAAAAAAAATCGGCTGTGAAATAAGAATAGGCTATCCTAATTAAAAGGGGTTTCATCAGGAACTGGCATGTAGAACCGGTGCAAAGAGGTTAATTATGAATCTAATGACGTAAGTCAATCGAAAGTAGTCTGATTAAAAAGGTCGCTTATCTCAAAACCATACATAATTGATCCGCTACACTGATTGACTAAAAGCTAAATAACGGCAAACCACAAGGAACCGAATGCGAAGAGTAAAACGTCCTTAGAGATAAATATGGTATTTCCACTATCAAAATACAACTTGATATTTTTCTGTCCAAGATTTCGTGTTTGTGGTCAATACAGAATGAAATCCATTGTCTGAGACTAGACTACTAATTCGAGAAATTAGAGGTAAATGCGATGTATATCAATACACGTAATTTGTGGAGTTCTCTTTCTCTGAAATATCGTGCTGTCGAAAATAAGGAAATGTTTAACAATCAAACCTGAGAGGCAGCCTAATAGCACTGGTCAAAATATATTTTTTACACATGGACGGTATGTTGTTATGGATATGCAGGCTTTAATATCTAATATTTAAGATCCTCAATCCTGTAATTACTTTATTCCCATTCCTTCCCTGTGGATTCGACTTCGCGCTGACGAGTTTATCAGCATTAACAGATGGTTCGCCACTCCGCACAATCATTAACATTAATATGCTCAAAAGAGGATTTCCAGGGTTCTCCAGCACCCACAAGTTTCCCTTTGGTTTTTTCCTCGTTCCTTGGTTGTCATGCTTTATTAATCCATTTTCGTGCAAGATGAAGTAAAGAAATCAAATCTGATCAGATTTAATGCGAGTGTGCCCTTGCTCCTGGGGCATCAAAAACTAATTTATTTCTCCACCAGAAATGAAATTATTAGACGTCTATAGCTGCAAGTACAACACGCTTCGCCACAAAATGTGATCGCAGAGCCAGGCCTTATAAAAGGATTAGGCGTTTACTAACACTGCTTGCAGATCTTTTAGCACTAACGCCCACATTAACCACCAAACCCACATAATAACCAACACACTGTACAATTATTTAGCACCAACAAAGCGATACCTAGCACTTACATTCATCCGCTCTGGTAGTGCTGGTTAATCTGTGGGTTTGGTGGTCAATTTGGGTGTTGGTGCTAAAAGATTGCTTAATCCGTTTATAAGACTGACAACAAATTTCGATTCACTCAATTTTTTTGTAACAAAATATGACTAATAGCCATTTAATGACTAAAAAATATGCCACATTTTTAACTATTTGTTTGTAACAGTGTACATTTTTATGAATGCATCACTATAATTCTAATAATGGATACTACTATCACAACAGTCACTACCACTGTGAAATAGTTTTATTAATAAATGAAACGATTTAATTTCCATTCTTTTATAATGGGGATCACCAAAGACAAAATGATGGATCAATGTCAAAATTGAATAACGTATTCCTTCTTCAGAACTTAAGTTTTCTGCTCAGATAAAGGTAGATAGAAAATACTCTTAGAATTGAAGTGCACTCAACAGTTCATTATCCTTAGACCATATTTTTATACATAAAATATATGTATTATGACAGTCTTTTTCTGCCACCCACTGCTTAACCACAGTGGGATTCCAAATGGACAGCAGTTTTTATGTCATTCAGATAATTAAAAACGATACGCCCATGAGTCCCGTCAGACAAAATTGACCGTTGTCAGCCAACAGTTTGCAAGATAACAGCTTATCAATAATTCTTTTGGTGTTTCATTCCAATACATGCAAATGCATTTATGCTTTGTCTGCCTTGTCCTTTTCCTACCAACAGCTGGTTAGTTGATCTGTCATATCAATAAATACACTGCACTCAGTCTTTATTAAAAGCAAATTAGCCATTGCCTGTGTTGGCTTGAAGTATGATGACTATTAAAAATACATGATCATGTTTTTATCTTTCAAATGTTCTAGCATTAGCTATAAACCTGTGCAATTTTCTTACTTCTCACTATTGCTGGCAACAATCTCTGCAATATTTCTGCCTTGTTCACCATTTATCTAAACTAACAGTGAGCCAATGATAACATTTGGAAAAGATGTTAGCATCCAGTGAAGGTCACCAAGTACTAATTGCACAGTTATCTTTTTTTGAAGCCATATTTCTTTCTCTCATAAAACAAATCTGTCTTTGCACTACCAAGGTTGACAATCTTTGGGCATCCATCTCTCTGAAATAGAAAAAAAAATTAATGAATAAAATGAAAGGATACAATGTTACATTTTTTACCAGTCATTGAAAATAGTCCATCATCTTAAAAACAGCCCATACTTGGAGAAAAACCTTGTTAACTGTCATAGGAGACACTTTCCCTTAAGCAATCAGCCAAAGCCTAAGTGTGAATCTCAAAAAGAAAGTCAAATGTTGTAATTAGCCAACAAGCTTACTCCGAAAACCCGAGAAAGAAAAATGATTGATCACATCTTGACATGAGTAAAATATCAGTTCTGTCCAAAGTGCTTACGTCTTTCTCCATAATTGTGCATTCCTTGCAGTAGTATGCATCTGACACTCCTGGTCCCCCACAGATCACACACCTTCCCTGGTAAGAGCCATAGTTGCACTCATCACAGATTCGTACCAGTGTACAAGGACGCACATAGGAGTCACATATGACACATTTACCATCACCTGAAAGAAGAAATTTTATGTAGTTACATCATATTATGTCATTTCATTACTTTCACTCATAATTTAGAATAAAGATGCAATAGTCTAGAATGAAAGACAATGTATGTAACAAGACAATTCATTACAACAACTATACAAAACCAATACAGTGCAGTGTCGTTGATTAATTAGTTACTACATTACAAAAACTACAACACAAAACCAATACTGTACAGTGCCAATGGCTTACACATTAAAGAAATTAAAAGCACAGATTCACTTCTCAACATCACACTGCACATGTCATTTCTATTTATCACAGAATTAGAAGGTACAAAAAAATATTTGTAAATAACCAGGCATGATCGTACTACCATGTTAAGTTTTACACCAGCCACCAACTGCTACTAATAATTTATACTGCTTATTGAAATGTAATGTTTTGATTCTAAAAACCAGCTGCAGATGGAGGGGGGGGGACTAGTTTGACCCTAGTATTTACCCTATTTTATTTATTTATTTTTTGACATTTTGAATGGATGTTTAACACTTCAAATGGAAAATTTAGAAAAAAAAAAAAAAAAAAAAAACTGAGACTCCATTTTCTATGTTTTTTCCCCCCTACATGTGAGGTATATTTAGGCAAAAAATTAGAATTAAAAAAAAGTCACAGAATTATATTAATAATAAGTGTTAGGGACGGACATGAAATGAACATAAATTTTTATTCTTTCAACTTTAAAATCAAAAGTCAGCTCTGCTTGTTGATGAATATTGTATTATTTTACTTTCTAAATATATAAAAGTTTTAATTTGTGTAAAAATGGACTTGTAGAAACAGGGGGGTGCCAGGAGTGTTATACACCCTGAAGTAGCCATTATGTAATGAAATAATGATATGAAATGAACAGCTGTTGAAATAAGTTTTTGTAATTGATATGCAACATGTTGGTATATCTTGGTCAGTTAAGAAGATAGCCATGTTTCTCCCTCACCCCTTGTCTTCATACTTTAAGTTAGTGGAAAAACTGAAGACTACATAGAAGCCAAAACAAAAGAAACTGGAAAAATGTTATAGTAAGAGAAATGATGCTCAAATATATTTATAAAAATGCATGGTTACTCGGATAATATGGAATAATTCATCTTTACAACTTGTCATGAACTTTATATGTTCATTTCATTCAAATTCTGCAAGACAGCAACTATTTTATTGAGAACACAAAATTATATTTCAATTTTCTTCTTTCACAATACACATCAATCATAGCACTATTCCAAGCATTGACGAAACAACCACGTAAAACTGCAATAAATCAATGGGAAAGGTTATCAAAAAGTCTGCAAGCAATTTAGCAGGAAAAATCAATACTTACATTTCTCGCACAGCCGCCCAATGGCTAGAAATGAAAGAGAAGAATAATTAGTAAAAAATGTTTTACGTCAATATATAAATCAATTGATATGGAATTTTAATTTCCTCCCTCTCCTTACGTTCATCATTATAAAGACAATTTCCAAGTGACAAATTACTAGGCAACAGTGACATTTCAGATAAATGATGATGATAACAAGTGGCAGTCAACCAATATGAAAATAAGTCGAAGTTATTTTTTCACTGAATCATGCACTTAAACTTTTAAATGCAACAAATGAAAATAAAATTTGGAATACGTTAAAAAAACCAAAACCGCTGGAGGGTAAAAATGTAAAGAAAAAAAATCAGTTGAACAATGATGACAATAACAAGTGTTAACCAATATGAAAAAAAGTCAGTTTTTTTTTTATTGAATCATGCTTTGATACTAAATAACAACAAATAAAAATAAATTTTGGAATACATAAAAAACCAATGAAGTAAACAAAAAAGTAAAATAAAAGAAGTAAATAAAAAAGTTTCTTATATTACTGCTTTCTATAAAAATGAAAAAATCACAAACATGAGCCCGGAATTAGAGGCTAAATTACTTAAAAATCCAATATCTGGAGGGCACCTTAGTATTTAAAGCAAAGTCAACGAATGTAGCCCTTTTTTTTTTGCAATGAAGCTCTTCTTGCAAGTTGTTTACTGTCGATATTACATAAAAAAATTACCAGATCAGTGAATATGACAATATGTGTAGTGTCAAGGTCATTTTAAAAAAGTGTACACTAGTACCACCAGATATTCTGAACTCTATTTTTATGACAATGAAAACAACCTGAAGGTTACAGCACCCACTCATGAAAATGTTTTTCGTAATATGCAGGAAAAATTCTAAAATGTCAGTTCCTATAACAGACACTCAACTTACAAAATTTATGGCCCCTGAAGTATATATCAAATCCAGGGTTGCAGATGTTTATGTTTTAGTTTAATAACGTTTCCATTGCATTATTTAATATGCTCTTTCATGATAATATTACTTAGTCTCCTGTTGAGTCATTTAGAAAACTACATTGTTCACAGTTGTCACTATAGAAGTTTGTTACTCTCTCTTTGAAGGTACACAATCCAAGGTGAAAGCAGCAGTAGACAATTCTCAAGCTGTTGATAAAGCAAGTCAGAATTGATATGAAACAAGTCCTGAATATGGTGTTATGGTTTATTGTGTACATTATGTTCTTGCTTCAACACCATTTAGATTTATGTTATTATCTCACGACTGCTAAATTGTCTATAAAGACAAGGCCATTTTTACAGATCTGCTCATATCATATTGTATTTCAATAGCACACTATGGCTATTGTGTCTGCTGTGTCGTTTTTAAGCATTAGAGCAACAACAAAAAATATGAACTAGTGCCTTTTGTGCAGTCCATGGTAAAAATTTTGTTGAGCCTAGATCTGAAAATAAAGGGGCCTCTTTTACAAGTGCCAGTGATACTATCATTCCAGAATTTTATGCATTTATACAATATCCATATCTGATGAACTAATATATGAAATTCAATGACCAATAACTATGCAATAGACCACAGTTGGAAATATCATGATTGGTTTGGATAACATTTTCATAGAGCAGGAATAGAATTTACAACATGATACTGAACCACAACCCACATTAATGCATTGCACTTTCATGTCATGATGTTGATATTTTTAAGTGATGGTTCTAATTGTCAATGATAATAATAAAATAATATTTCTTGTATGGTGCATTCCATTTAAATTTCAATAACCTTCCAAGTTAAGAGCTAAAAATTACAAATTGCTTATGAAAATCCTAAAATTCTGAACCTAAGGGTTACCAGTGAGGGGGTTGTTCTGGATGTGCTCCAAACAATTTCATTGTTACACGTCTTTGAGATCAATTTTAGTTCAATTTTCTTCAATAATTTACATGATACAGTTATGACTTATCACTTCAGAATTCAATTAGCTTAATAAAGCATTCCAGGCAAACAACCAATAAGCCATTAAGTCATCAGGGATGAGACTGCCATTTAGTGAAAAAGTCTGAAAAATGGCGTGGGGCCCTTTGCATCGACCTCAGAAATGATATTTTTGTCTCCTATATTTATTTTAGATTCAATTAACACCGGCATGCTAAAGGCTGGAGCCAAGTATTAAAAGTTAAGCATTGTCACAATTTGTGGCTTATATGAAAGTTCTTTACGTAGAGAGAAATAAGTTTAAAACATTGCAAAATATTTGATGCAATAAAAAGACTCGCCTAACTGAACCATTAGGAAACCGTTTACTTGAAGCACAGTAAAAAAGGAGGTTTTGAATTGAAGTTCTATGGGATTATTGATTTTTGGTGAGAATGCTTGTTTATGATATGTGACTGACAGTTTCAGGGCACCCTATAAATTATGAAGAAGCCTGCAAGGGGTGCCATTAAAAATTGACAAAGGTTAGTTTGAAGGTAGGCATTGAGATCTTGTAATCTCTATGTGTGGATACTTGGCAAAGGAAACCTGCAGTAGTGGCCCATAAATAAACCCTGAAATGCAGAGTTGCTAATAAGGATTCTCCAATTCTCCAGGACAAGTGAATGATGTTTATTTGTTCATTTATCAATTTATTATCGTGGTGGTGGTGAGAGTTGAATCCATTTTCTTTGCGAGCAAGTATAGTACAAATTAGCCTGGGGTGAGTGATGATATCAAAATTGTCTTCTTGTCTTGCCTGGATCGTGACTAATCTTCTGGTAAAGATATGAATATTGCCTTCTCTTCTTTCAGCTCTGTCAGGTGCAGTACGTATTAAGGTTTTATAATTTAACGGTAAGTTTGCTCAGACTTTGTTACACATGTTTTGTATCCAATGCAGACCCTCTTGTCACTGCTGCGTTCGGCATGTATTATGTTTCTTAAAGTAAACAGAAACATTTAAATGTGTTTTATAAGCTTTAAGTAGTAGTTAGTCGTGATTGCAGTACAGGGTGCACTACAAAGTAATTATATTCAAAAGAGAATCATCATACAAGCTGGGTAAGGCAAAATTACTTGACGATATTTTGTAGGATGTATATTTCGTAGGCCATCCTGTCAAGCCAAGCCATCATTTTTTCAAAAAATTTGTAAGCCGCCCAGCCGTCTTTGATAATATAACCATCCGGTGATGCCAGCAGCCGTCTAAGTGATGGCTAGACAGATCGCTGGGAAAAACCTTGTTTCAATGTTTTATAAACATATAATCATTATCATCAAGAACGGTTGGATCGGAACCGACCTGCCGTGGCCCTCACAAAAAGCTCTATGAACAGATCTCCCCCCCTTACAAAAACCTCTCCACTGGTCACAGTTTTGTGCCATTCTATCTGCTTGAACCATGGATCCACAGAGGTCCGTTAGATCATAGCTGTATTGCATTTTATATCTTTCACATCTTCAAATCTGTATGCTGTTCCCATAAGTAATGATTTTTCCATTTGTTGGTGTCTCAGAATGTGTCCCATGAAGGTAAGCTTTCTCTCTGTGAGGGAGTCAAGCAGTCTTTTTTCTGAATCCTCTCAGCACTTTATCATTCATAGATTTTGTAACAAAGTTGATTCTAAGAACACCATAATAGCACCATACAAAACGTTCATATAGCTTTGTTTATACTTTTTAAAAGTACTGTACACTTTTACAATATTCCCAAAGTGACATTTTCTACATCTACTTATCCTGCAAAGCTACTAATCTATCCTAATTCAGATATTAAAAACCATAAATCTCTCGATTCAAGGTACCTTACTGCGAAGGTTCCTTTTGAAATGTCAAGAAGACTTGGCACTGTCAATGACTGGACAGTCATTGAAAACTGTGCAGGGGCAGATCAAGCTATGATTTGTGAGTAGGAAATATTGTGTTTCCCCCGAAGAAATTAATTTTAGCGGGTAATTCCCAAAAAACTAATAGAGTACATTTGAATATTTATCTAATGTTGTATAAAATGGATTACTGATATCTACTGCATTTTGTTGTTTGTTAGCTATGCAACAGCCACGTTTAATTTTGTCTTTTTGCCTTACATGCTAGGTACTTACTTAACGCATGCACATGTAGCACGTAAGCCAATAATGAGAAAGGCTGAAACTAGACATTTGAAAGCTTAGGCAACGTTTAATCTACGTCTTTCGCCAAGAACAATGACTTGATGAACACCGGGCTGTGTTACATCGTTACATAGCCACTGAACATACATGTTTCAAAAAAGAATATAAACATAAGAAGAGAACCTCTTAACCTTAAGTACTTACCTACGCCTGGTTGTTTTCGGCAAAAAATTAAATCTGGGTGATGTTTCGCCATTTTCCACGCTTTCTGCGTTTCCGGTTTAGTCTATATTTGGATTGTATCGTACACAAATAAGAAAATATTATATTTCGTTTCAGAAATATTTGTATGTTTGAGTAAAAAATTATCTTAATTTACCTCTTAAAAAATTTTATATATGATTCTGTACAAAATTTATTGTGTTTGTTGGTGGAATGAGTTTTGTTTTTCATGTAGTGTTCCACTTTTCATTCTTTAATTCAAAATGGCAGCGGCCAGTGAGAAGACCGACGGTCTTGAGCACGAAGAGGAAACAAGTAAATCTTCCACATTTAAAGAGCTGGTGAGGTTGTATAAAAAAAAAAAAACGTGTAGTCATATCTCAGGTCATGTTACACTGTACATGGTTAATGCGTTCATAGTAAAACATGGTGATTATAGTCCATTTTCGCTGTCAACATGTAGCTTTTCCATGGCCAGCCGTAGCACAAAGTTGTATCTGCTCGTCTACCAATTACACCCCAATGCATGAAACTTCATTCTAAGACAGCCATAGCAAAAAAATTCTTGCAATAACACTCTAGTTAACCATTTTATATGCACTGTAGTACAGTACTGTATGTACGAACACTTAAATATTTAGCAAATAAAGTTTTATAACCCATTTTGGACGAAAAAAAGAGTTTTTCTAGTCTTTCTCAGTAGTCAATTGCTGAATGAATGTGAAATTTGGCTTACATGAAGAAGATATATTATCGTATGTGATTGTACATATGGTTTGATAATTATGCCTGATGCATGAAGTAGACTCACAACTTTCACTCACTTTGAACTTGATCTTGCACAGCACCCATCTTGGACACTAATATTTAGATAAATTAGATATTACTGTTTATGATCAGGCACATTAGGAGCCATTTGATGATTTGTTAGTAACCTCTCACATGCGATGTTAAATCATAACTTGACTCCAGTTGTGCAATACACATTTTGGACACTTACATTTAAATCGTTGTTTTTTAAAAAATGAATGCAGCTGCAGGACATGAAACTTAAGGCATGTCAAATTCACCAAACAATTTAACTCAAGTACAAATTTCATGCTGAATAGATAATTCTAACTGCATTTTAAAGCGATCATGAATTGCCCACTTATGTGTATCATGTGAATGTGTCCATTTTAGCTGCCTTTTTGCCATGCATAGATTTTAGTCAACCACTCCTAACCGATTATATGGATTGATTGGAATCATTAAACTCAACAAGAATTAATCTAACATATTTCTAGCTAAGAGACTAGAAAATACATATTTGTACTCTTGATGGTTATTTTTTTATTATTCAAAAAGCAATATGCACAGCATAAAATTGCAAAACAGCAGCAGTGAACACAGTGTAATAAATGAAACAAGGAATATGTGTGCACACATTGTTTTTTTTTTTTTTTTTTTTGGCAGATTTTTCATCCCAAATCTTACTTTTCCAGTGAAATTTAACAATAAGTTTTATGTGAAAACTATGTTTCAGAATAATTCACCAGTTGTAATCAAAATGTAATGTGTATTGTACAGCAGTTCACAACCCCCTCCATGTGCACATTGCCAATGTAATTCAATATATGGAAATGGTTATATGACCAACAAAGTGGCACTTGGCCAACATACTACAATTTTTAATATCAGAAAAATTGGAATTTTTAAGTAAGATTGGCTTTGTGTACATCAAAAGACTTCTTGGTTATCATTGGCATCTTCAGTAATATGAAATATAAAGCATACGATCTGTAAGTTCTTATGCATGGCCTATTTATTAGCCCAATTGATATTTTGTAGAATTTAGAGCCTAACAATCACCAGAGATAGTCTGGTGGACATGGTTTTCATATTGAAGCATGGTGTTTTGTTCTCGTGCTACTGAATACACATTCATAGGTCTATCAAGAGAGTGACATCACACCATAGGCTCTGATTAAATGGTATTTATAGCTCATGATTGGCTTGCATGTTTGGGCGCTTATAAAAAAGGCTAGAAATTGCATTATATGCTGATTTATAATTGTAATGAATCTATTTTAAATCACACTTCTATGGACAAAATAAACCTTCAGGAGTTCTAAAATGAACCCTACACCTGTGAATAAATTCACTTTAAGTTGCATTGTTATGGGTGGTTATTGGCAATTTTGTTTGAACATTCTTGGTAATACATTTGTATCAATTCATCATGTAAGCTAGGTGTATTCAACTGACAAATGTTTTGGTTGTTGCCAAGACAAAGCTCCCATTTCTATCCAGAAAGCTACCTCATTTTGGCATCCAACAGATGAAACTTTTTGTGAGTGGGTTGGTGCCAAAATGAGGCAACTGTGTTACATGGTTCCATATATGTTAATTGTAATGAACAATGTATATACCAGGTTTTTTTTTTAAACAATCAAATTGCAGATTTTTTGTTTATCAATAGTATTTCATATTTTGCAGGGTGTGTGTGATGTGCTTTGTGAAGCCTGTGAACAGCTGAAATGGAAGGAACCATCGAAAATTCAGAAGGAGGCTATTCCAGTTGCACTTACAGGTATGTTTATTGACAATAAATGAACACAATGTAAATTGCTTGTTAACTCTGAGTTTTACCATTATGTTTCAGCTTAAATTTATCACTGCAACAGTTTCTAAGACATATTAGACTATTGACAGTGAGGCCATTTTAATCATATGCATGTATTTAATTTGTTTTTGTTTGATAATGGTAACAAAATTGATTCCAGAAATTTTGCTGACATTTGCATGTCTGTTGTAAACTGTGACATAATATACTTTGATCAAAGCTGAAACATTTGCAGAGCCTTGGTCAAATTACTTACATGATGTTTTTTTCAAGGCAAGGATATCATTGGCCTGGCAGAAACTGGTTCAGGAAAAACTGGTGCTTTTGCATTGCCAATTTTGCAGAAATTATTGGAGAATCCTCAGAGGTTATTTGGACTCATACTCACGCCTACAAGAGAATTGGCATTTCAAATCTCAGAGCAGTTTGAAGCACTGGGGTCGTCAATAGGTGTCAAGTGTGGTAAGCTCTGTCTTCATGAATTTGTTTGACATCCTGTTTCAAACTTATGTTGTTATTATTGATATTTTTCATGATAATTTCTACTTTAAAATTTGGAGACTCACCCTTTTCTTGTTATATAAAGCTATATTTTGTAATAATAATTATTATTATTTGCAGCTGTGATAGTTGGTGGCATTGACAACATGTCACAGGCCCTGATGCTGGCTAAAAAACCTCACATCATCATAGGTGAGTGTAGAAAATTGACATTTTTCTTTTATAGAAAACATTGGTTTATGGTAATGATAAATTATTATTTCATTAAAAGTGGGCTTTTGTATAAAAATGCACTTATTTGTCAAAATTAAAAATAATTTGATGAAAATCATTGCAGCTACTCCAGGAAGACTGGTGGACCATTTAGAAAATACGAAAGGGTTCAATTTGAGAGCTTTGAAATTTTTGGTAAGTATTAAAAATGAATGCATTTGACCTGAATATTCTTCATACAAACAATTTAGAGTTCCTTTTAGACATAAAGATCTAAAGATTTTCAGGTCACTAAAAGGTGATATAATGTACTTTATTTTTATTGGATAAATTGAATTTGCATTTTGTTCATATTTTTGTATTTGTTTCAGATGAACACTTTAAAAACCTTATGAATACCAAAACAATAATAATAATAATAAAAATAAAAACATTTAATACTTTAGGTTATGGATGAAGCTGATAGAATATTGAATATGGATTTTGAACAGGAGGTAACACAATTCTGCTTTTAAAAGGAAAATGTAACTAGAAATGTAAATTTATAATGTATATGTAATGAAACATTTTAATTCTTTGCTGTGAAACTTGAATTTGACCTATTTTTCACAAAATTTTGAAGAATCATTTAGAATTATTGAATTACACTGGGGTAGTTTGGTTACACTGAAGAATATGTGTAATAATACTATGTGATGTTTTATGTGTTGTTTTGTAGGTTGATAAAATTCTGAAAGTAATTCCTAGAGAAAGAACAACCTATCTGTACTCAGCCACAATGACTAAGAAGGTGCAAAAACTTCAGAGAGCATCTTTGCAAAATCCAGTGAAAGTGGAAGTATCTAGTAAATATCAAACAGTGGAAAAATTACAACAATTTTACATTTTTATTCCTGTCAAAGTCAAGGTAGGTTTCAAAGCCCCCCCCCCCTCCCCCCAAAGTTTCAATTTATTCTACCAAGATTGTTATAGCAACCATGCATTAATTATTTGTTGTTTTTCTTCATTATGATTTAATTATTTGGTATATTCAGTATTGATCTTGCATTTTTTGTGGGGTGGGGGGGTTGACGGATGAATTATGGACTTTTAACACATCCTGTAAAATTGATGAAAGGTTGCTTAATCTGTGGATCAGATTTTTCACCAAATTCACATAGAGATTAAAAAGTAAGATACCTGAAATTAATGATACTTAAATGTAGAACACTTCAGACTGTTTTTCAGATATTTATTTCCCTATGTGTGTATCTTGGGTTTTACAAAACATGACAGAATTCCCATTGTTTACTATATCCCTGACAATGTGTTATGAAATTAACTTCTTCTAATACTTGCAGACATACTCAGTATCTTGTCTGTAGTTTGAAGGTGCCATGTACCTTATACTTTGTATATGCAGGATGTGTACTTGGTTTACATTCTGAATGAGATGGCTGGAAATTCATTCATGGTTTTCTGCAGTACATGTGCTAACACACAACGAGTTGCTCTGATGTTAAGGAACCTGGGACTCAATGCAATCCCACTCCATGGTCAGATGACACAGGTTAGTGCTCTTTTGGGTGGCAAAAGGAATAGTTGATTCAAAAAACATATTAGGAAAAAAAACAATGTTATGGTTACATTATTATAAGAAACTTCATAGATATTAGAAAAATGTGAATTGGTATTGAGTTTTGAAAATGGATGCTAAGAATCACTGTCCAAAAAGATTTATTCCACATCTATATTTAATATAAAATATTTAATGCTTTTTAATATTTAAGCCATATGTATATTTCATATGACACTTCTTTTTATACTTTTGAAGTCTCATAACTTTGCTTATATTCCAGTCCAAAAGGCTTGGTGCCTTAAACAAGTTCAAGTCAAAAAGTAGATCCATTCTAATAGCAACAGATGTAGCAAGCAGGTATTCAAAACATTCTTTAAGCAGAAGATAACTGGGATCTTTAACAGTATTTTAATGATGTGGGAAATTTTATTTAAGAACTTCTCTGGCGCTTTTTTCAAGAATTAAGCTTCACTGGAAATTTAATATTGTTAAACCCAAACAGATTTTCATTTCAAAAGAAAGAGATGTCAGAAACAAATTTTTAACTTTCAACAACATTCATTTAATTTCAAAATTTGGCAATAGACTAACTATAGATAATATTTGCACATAAACTGCATATATATAAAGAGATATTGTCATTTAGAATTTTGTTGATGGGTTTCTATTTTTCATATCAGGGGGCTAGACATACCACATGTTGATGTAGTCCTGAACTTTGATATTCCCACACACTCAAAAGACTACATACACAGAGTTGGGAGAACTGCCAGAGCAGGTCGAGCAGGCAAGGCTATCACATTTGTGACACAGTAAGTGATATTAAGATCATCTAAAGGTGAAGGTCAAATAAATGTTGAAAAACAGACAACTAAAACTAAAAATTTTAACTATTGAAATTGGAAAAGATTTTAAATTTTTCTAAAAAAATGTTTTGAAAAGCTACAAGTTATTTATGTATGGGAACATTTTAATAAAAACTTCTTGTTTAGTAGCACTAGAAATGTTCATAATATTTCATGACATTTTTATAATATCTCATGAATCATCATTTATGTCTCATATTTCACAGCCTGACTATTTACCACTGGTTTAAAACTTTTCTAGGTACGATGTCGAACTCTACCAAAGGATAGAACACTTGATTGGCAAGCAGCTGGACCTCTACAAGACTGAGGAGGAGGAAGTTATGGTGCTGATGGAGAGAGTCAGTGAGGCTCAAAGACATGCTAAAATGGTAAGATATCTGCTGCATGAAAGGAAAAAAGACCTGGGAAAGATACAACCATTGGTGTAGAGTTTCTGTGTTGAAAATTTGCATTTTAAAATCTGTAAAGAAAAGTTCTTTCTAATGTGTTTTAAATATAAACCTGAAGAGAGTTGATTCAGAAAGGGTTTGCAAATATTAAACTACTAAGAACACTGTCCTTGTTATGTTCAGTGGGTTGAAAATAAATTTAAACTTTGTTTTTATTTCAGGAAATGTCTGAAATGGAAAATAAGAAAAAGCGTGGCAAAACAATGGACAATGATGATTCTGAAGAAGCAACAGGAGTCAGAAAGAAAATGAAAACAAAAAGAAAACACTGATTTTGATGATGCAAATTTTAAATAGGAAAAATAAGTGAAATTTGAAAATATGCAAAAACATGTTTTTAGTATCACAGACTGCTTCATTTTTTTTCTTAGTTTGGAAAAAGGGATCACCATTCTGTCAACAATTTGTGGATATGTTGCAGGACAGATATTTACACAGCTGAATGTGCTAGAATTCAGTATGCTCTGACAAATTGTTAAAATACCAAACAAGGCATATATGACATTTATTTGTAAATATGTTGCACCCATTTACGTAGAGGTTTTATAGCGTCTGAAACTGTATTAATTATCTATATGTGCAGGAGGGGTGGGACTAATGAGGTGAGGAAATTAGTTTAATTCAATTTAATTAAGCTAGTCTTTATCCATCAGTTAACAATGGAAATTTATTCAAAGTTTACTGAATAAATTGAAATATTCCTTGCTATTTTGCCATTTAGTTACTTTTATTCTTATGGAATTATTACTTTTGTTTTATCAAAAGATACTGGAATAAGAGGGTGATATGTTTTTCAAGAGGTTTATTTAGAAACCCTCCAGTATAATGCTGTTTTTGTGTACAATATTGTGATGCCTGCCAAAGCTGAGGTGAATAAATGAACATTATTTTGCACTTGACACCATCCGTGTCCTCCACATCGATGTCCTCCTAATAAAAAGGAAAGTCTCAATGGGTTGAATTATTATGAGTGTAACTGAAACGGACAAAGTGCAAGATCTCAAACATGTTTTTTCACTACATAAATGAATTATTGTTGTATACATCTAAGTACTAGCCACTGCATGTAATACTTATGACCTTTTTAACAGCAAAATACCTTGATTTCACAACATTCTCATTTGATTGTACAAAAAGGCATTTTTTTTCAGAAGTGACAGTGATTGTCTACACCCCAGACTACATTTTTTTTTGTTTGTAGGAAAGAGTGAACTGATTTACTTTTAAGGGAAGTTTTTTTTTAATTTTATTTTTAAAAAACCCATTCGAAAAAGAGTCCTATAACAACAAAAAGGTTTACAACCTGCTGTAACCAGAACATACATTATACATATTAACAAGTGATGAGACTAAGATAATTAATTCATCTTTTCTGTTATTTCCAACTCGTGAAATTAACAGAAAACTGGTATGATATGGTAGTTATCATGATCTTGATTTTCAGATGAATAAAGAGGAAATTTCTTCCCTGTGTAATTTCCATAGTTTAGCTCAACTTTCATTTCCTAGTGGATGCAACCTCACAGGATGCTGGAATCCTATAAATAGTCAGTTCAACATTTCACTGATAATAAACAAGTACATATACTGTGAATTTTTAGAAACAAGTAGATAAACTGTGAATTTTTACAATGGATTTATACTAAAATAATTAAAATCTAAGTAAATGTGAAAGCCTTTAATTCCCTTTCGAGTATAAATGCATAAAAATGTTTTAGATGGTACTTTTCATAAAGTTCTTTCTCTAAGCATGTAACAGTTCAAAGTAAATGTTTAAAGAAACTATTTTTCGCTTAAACTAGGAGGTCACTTAAACTCATAGGATTAAACTAGTGTCTAAAATACAGTCACAGGTAAGGAGCCACAGGTTAACAACCACTGAAGGCTGTCTTGTTAATTTTAACCAATGACGACCTTTGTTTACTAAAGTACCCGTTCCAGTAAGTACTTCCTGTCTGCCACATTGATTGAACTCTTAGGCGAATTGGAAAATGGGCAATGCAGATACCAAATTAAACTTCAGGAAGGCTGTAATTCAGTTAACAACCAAGACTCAGGTGAGATAAAACGATTCATGAGTTTTAAATGTCCAGGAAATTCTGTTCACATATGTACAAGAGGGTCAAATATTCTTTGAACATTCGTTTATCGAACTCGCTAAAAATCAGCACGACGGCAATTTGCGTGGGTTCAACACGAAGTTCCGCAGTTTATGATAAATTATGCTAAAATATCATAAGTATTTAAGTGATAAAGAAATATGCTAGTACCAGCAATAGGTTTGATTAGCGATTGTTGATTCACGGTCAACACGTTCTGTTCACACTGACATTTGCCCAGCTATCCCTGCTGGTCAAATAAAGCTGATAGATACTATTGTGACATACATGTAGTAACGTCAGTTATTTTCAGATGATGGTGTGGTTTTCAGTTAATGTTACATTTTGAAGTTGAATCAATTTTATTGAATAGTAGTTGTAGCAAATCTGGTCTAGGCATAATTCTCATACTAGTGCTTTTTTGTTGTTATAAAGGCCATATCACATATTAACCCATTACAGTGACGTCATATTTGCTCCGTAACACTCATCCAGCGGCCATTCTGGAGGGAAAGAACGACGGGGAATAGTAGCGTAAATATAGGTGAACCAGATAAAATGAAATAATCTTCATATCGTGATCAAGTACACCAAAAGGAAATAGTATATACATGTGAAAACTTCAGCTGATCAGCGTGATCGACCCATATAAACTCAAGACAGTCCAAAAACGTGAAATCCTGACCTACCCCTGTATCCCAACATCGTGGAATGTTGTCAGAAGCTAGTTCAGTTATCTTGTACTTCATTTTTCTTGTTCATTGGGTAATAAAAGTTATAGTTTTAGAGAGTTTACTGTGTAATCATAAGTTCAACCTTTCATAGAAGCAACTTTGTACATCAANATAGCTTTGCTGCCTTGTTCTAAAAAAATGTTTTGAAAAGCTACAAGTTATTTATGTATGGGAACATTTTAATAAAAACTTCTTGTTTAGTAGCACTAGAAATGTTCATAATATTTCATGACATTTTTATAATATTTCATGAATCATAATTTATGTCTCATATTTCACAACCTGACTATTTACCACTGGTTTAACTTTTCTAGGTATGATGTCGAACTCTACCAAAGGATAGAACACTTGATTGGTAAGCAGCTGGACCTCTACAAGACTGAGGAGGAGGAAGTTATGGTGCTGATGGAGAGAGTCGGTGAGGCTCAAAGACATGCTAAAATGGTAAGGTATCTGCTTCATGAAAGGAAAAAAGACCTGGGAAAGATACAACCATTGGTGTAGAGTTTCTGTGTTGAAAATTTGCATTTTAAAATCTGTAAAGAAAAGTTCTTTCTAATGTGTTTTAAATATAAACCTGAAGAGAGTTGATTCAGAAAGGGTTTGCAAATATTAAACTACTAAGAACACTGTCCTTGTTATGTTCAGTGGGTTAAAAATAAATTTAAACTTTGTTTTTATTTCAGGAAATGTCTGAAATGGAAAATAAGAAAAAGCGTGGCAAAACAATGGACAATGATGATTCTGAAGAAGCAACAGGAGTCAGAAAGAAAATGAAAACAAAAAGAAAACACTGATTTTGATGATGCAAATTTGAAATAGGAAAAATAAGTGAAATTTGAAAATATGCAAAAACATGTTTTTAGTATCACAGACTGCTTCATTTTTTTTTCTTAATTTGGAAAAAGGGATCACCATTCTGTCAACAATTTATGGATATGATGCAGAACAGATATTTACACAGCTGAATGTGCTAGAATTCAGTATGCTCTGACAAATTGTTAAAATACCAAACTAGGCATATATGACATTTATTTGTAAATATGTTGCACCCATTTCAGTAGAGGTTTTATAGCGTCTGAAACTGTATTAATTATTATATGTGCAGGATGGGTTGGACTAATGAGGTGAGGAAATTAGTTTAATTCAATTTAATTAAGCTAGTCTTTATCCATCAGTTAACAATGGAAATTTATTCAAAGTTTACTGAATAAATTGAAATATTCCATGCTATTTTGCCATTTAGTTACTTTTATTCTTATGGAATTATTACTTTTGTTTTATCAAAAGATACTGGAATAAGAGGGTGATATGTTTTTCAAGAGGTTTATTTAGAAACTCTCCAGTATAATGCTGTTTTTGTGTACAATATTGTGATGCCTGCCAAAGCTGAGGTGAATTAATGAGCATTATTTTGCACTTGACACCATCCATGTCCTCCACATCCATATCCTCCTATTAATAAAAAGGAAAGTCTCAATGGGTTGAATTATTATGAGTGTAACTGAAACGGACAAAGTGCAAGATCTCAAACATGTTTTTTCACTACATAAATGAATTATTGTTGTATACATCTAAGTACTAGCCACTGCATGTAATACTTATGATCTTTTTAACAGATAAATACCTTGATTTCACAACATTCTCATTTGATTGTACAAAAAGGCATACTACTCGCAGACATTGAATCTCAACCTGATTTTCCAATCCCACACAGAATATTGCGACTAGTCTCAGATTATTCGGAGGACGCCTCCGATTAATCGGAGGGCATCGTAGGTCATCGGAGATTGTGTCTGGGATGCCCAAAATGGGTGAAAAATCTTGCGAGCAATCTTAAAATTTTATGTTCAAATTTGGGGACCGCGACGGGTGTGGCGATGTCTAAAAAATCTGCGACAACCCGCAGGCGTCCGGAGAGCGCCTCCGACGGGTGCAAAATCGTGAGATCTGTCTCAAGATTTTGTTCAAATTTCCCGGGTTTTACCCATCCCCGACGCATCGCAACTGATTTGTGACTGGGCCTTAAGGAGCCACAGGTTAACAACCACTGAAGGCTGTCTTGTTAATTTTAACCAATGACGACCTTTGTTTACTAAAGTACCCGTTCCAGTAAGTACTTCCTGTCTGCCACATTGATTGAACTCTTTGGCGAATTGGAAAATGGGGAATGCAGATACCAAATTAAACTTCAGGAAGGCTGTAATTCAGTTAACAACCAAGACTCAGGTAAGATAAAACGATTCATGAGTTTTTAATGTCCAGGAAATTCTGTTCACATATGTACAAGAGGGTCAAATATTCTTTGAACATTCGTTTATCGAACTCGCTAAAAATCAGCAGGACGGCAATTTGCGTGGGTTCAACACGAAGGTCCGCAGTTTATGATAAATTATGCTAAAATATCAAGTATTTAAGTGATAAAGAAATATGCTAATACCAGTAATAGGTTTGATTAGCGATTATTGATTGAGTCATGGTCAACACGTTCTGTTCACACTGACATTTGCCCAGCTATCCCTGGTCAAATAAAGCTGATAGATACTATTGTGACATAGTAACGTCAGTTATTTTCAGATGATGGTGTTGTTTTCAGTTAATGTTACATTTTGAAGTTGAATCATTTTTATTGAATAGTAGTTGTAGCAAATCTGGTCTAGGCATAATTCTCATACTAGTGCTTTTTTGTTGTTATAAAGGCCATATCACATATACAGTTAAAAGTCATATATGTCAGACTTTCAAAGTGTGGTCCAGTCCCTTCCAAGAGTGTGTTGAACCCAGATTGGCTGCACAAGTGGAAGCATAGCATATCACTACAGTGATTACAGGCATTTCTCACATTTGTTTGGAAAGAATGAATTATAATGTGTTTTTGAGAACTTTTATGATGTAGCTGTGAAAATTAATGAACATTTTAAAGATCTGAGGTTTAATAGTATAAGCTAAAACTTGTTTGACTGCTTTTTACTTTAAGAAAAGATTTATTTACATAATTTACTTTGTTTCTGTGGCAAGTGTGTTGTCTCAAGATTTAAAATTCTTTTTGTTTGCATTTGATTAGGATATTTTATATTTTGGAAGTTAAAGGGATAAGAACACTTCATATGAAATCCATATTTCCCAATAAATACATTGTAAACAACTCATAGAAATATAATTCATTCTATTTTACCACCATTATCGCAATTATTTTGGAATCTGTGCTTGGCCTCAGACCACGTGACAGGTGGCTACCCTCTGTAATAATCTCTTAGGAAACCAAACCTTTTAGAAAAAAAA